TATGACTTCACGGAATGATGTCAATCATCCCGACGTAACAAATAACACTTGAAGCCACTCATCTTGACGTAACAAGTGGCGCTAGAGGTCAATCATCTTGACGTAACAAGTGGCGCTAGACGTCAATCATCTCGACGTAACAAGTGGCACTAGACGTCAATCATCTCGACGTAACGATTAAGTTGCACTAGACGTCAATCATCTCGACGTAACAATTAAGTTGCACTAGACGTCAATCATCTCGACGTATCAAGTGGCGCTAGAAGTCAATCACTCATTCAGAACTAGTAACACAAAGCTTTATTGACCACGACGTACTATCTAGTAATTGCCTTGAAATGCAACACGTGCACATTGTACAAACTCATTCGGTAGTCCCTGTGTTCTCGCGTTACTTTGATAACAGACAAGCTGTCGCAGACATATATTAAGCTCCTCTGCTTAGAAGGAACAACAAAATGTAGAGCTTGCACTTGCACTGTCGTGAATATTATTCTTTTATTCTTATCCTTTCTATTGCAATTTTACATTAATTGAATTAACTTTAATGGAATATCGGTTAAAAAACTATACGGCGTTCACGGACCAAAACGAATGTATCTAATTTTAAAATGTAAGCTCTTATCCGTAACTGTGAAAAACTTTGTGAGTTAAATTCAAGGTCAGGAGTCTGAAAGCTCACAAACACTAATGCCTTTTATCAAAGTAATTAGTATAAAAATCGATTCAGAAATTGTAACAAGGTTTTGCTGCAGTTGTTGCATGAGGCGTTTAAAATAATAGTCGCATTCCTGAGTTGGAGTCACAAAATTGTCAAGTGAAAAACGAAACCTCAATCAAATTTATATAGATTAATGAATCTTATCGTTTGAAACCACTAATGCTTGTTTTGTAGGGATTTTGTAAGCTTAGGAGCTTACTCAAGAGCTTAGGAATAGTTCATGCAAGTATTGCAATTTATTATACCTTTCCTGTACCAATAAGATAGTTTACTCCTTTAACGATAATTAGAGAAATTTTTGGAGAGTAATTTTCCGAAATTACTTCTAGCGATAAGCTTTATACACGTTAAACACATTGAAATACCATTCATGTGGAACAGCCCCTCGAGATTGTACAACGTGATTCTGCTGTGGTTATTTAAAAGCGAACGCCAAATTAGGCTATAGGTTTAATCAAGGATTTACTACAAGGTTTTTCTAGCGACATTGGGGGAATTAATAAGGTTATTAGACAATTCAGTTAATATTGTGAAAATTTTAAATGCATTTTTTGCATAATTATTAGCTTAAGTAGTTTATGCATACGAATGAATGATATAATATCATACGAAAAATACATCTATAGCCTGTACCACTATAAGACTAGTGTTTCCATTTTATGCAGATCATAATTTAAATGGAGCTTCACGCGAGCAAGTGTGGCCTGTCTGAGCTGTTGTTTAGATCGACGCCCGCAGCGAAGCATCGATTGGTAATTTTGCATTTACTTGTTACAATTTTTTTAAAACCTTGATCTTACTTTCATTGTAGTAACAATCGCAGCGATGGAGATTTTTCCGATGCATTTATTTAGTAGTTATTTGATAAGTCGGGCCGAATAATTTCTTTTAGAATAAATTCGCAGCCGCCTGAAAAACTTTCAGGTTCAAAGCAGCTTGTACCCAATTATGCGTTCTCATGATTATTTTAACATTTAAATTCCTTTCATTTAACAATTATATTATGTGAGAAAACTTACATCTTACAAACCATGACGAGATCTTTGTTTTATATCATTTGGTTTTCTAAAGCTGTTGGGTCTTCACTGTTCATTAAAATCTTGACCAGAGTTGAGGCCGTGGGCGCACCGCTGCGCTTGCGCTGGAAGTGCAGACGCTCCGCGCAGAAGGCGAGAGCTGCCGAGCCGCAGCACAGAGAGTAGACGAAGAAGGCGCCCTGGGCCTATACTTTCAAAAAAAGTTAAGAGATCGTAAGTTCATCAGCCAATCATTGACGGCCTTTCAAGCAAAATCTACCAATCATAGACAAGAAAATATAGCGTAAGTACTTACGTTCACTCTGCGAGTTTTGAAAGTAAGGCCCGGAAGATGGGCCAGGGTGATGGCCTCAGTCGAGTTGGGTTCGCTCTCAATTGTTTTGCTGCTTATCTTATACAACTGCTCTTTTTAGCGCATTTTCTCATTTATGGAAAAATGTCCTATTGTGCTCGTCATGTCCGTCCGACTGTCTGTCTGTCCGTGATTTGACGTTTTCGTCGACGAGAAAATGCGCTCTCTGTCACTCACTGCGATGACTACTGAGTTATATATTTTTCCATTTATTTTATGAGTCCGCTCTCCACCATCTGAGGTAATCTGTGCCGAATATGAACGATTGTAAACGATGACACCATAACAAATGCAATATATAGCTTATACCTGCTACCAAGAGCTTTTTGGCACGAAGCATGAAATGTCGGTAAAAATTGATCATGCCCATGAAGCGACGAAGACCTTTGGCTTTCTCAGGTCATTGAAAATCCTGGATTGCCTTCACTTTTATCCTTCGCTCGTGATACGGTGGCCCAGACAGTCTGGTTGTGACGCTCCGAGTTCGCATTTCAGCAGGATGAGTTTTTGACCGTGAGTCAAACGCGTGAATAACGCACGCATGTCTTCTAAATGCTGTTCATCGTCGTCTGATGGCGGTTTTTTTTTTTTCGCTAAAATACAACGGCCGTATACAAGAACGGCTTCTGATGTTTGCCTTTTATGAGGAAACCTGTGCTGGTTTATATGATCCACTACGGGAGAGCATTTACAGAGTTACCGCAACTCGCCTTCACACTGCATTATCACGGTTTTTGATTGATGATCTATTTCCTGCATTCGCTCTCACCCAGCAGACAATGCCAGGTTGAATAAAAGTTGAAACAACAAAACTCACGACATTGGATATTAGTTTAGAATGAAAATTGAAGCAACGTCATTTTTCAACGTTTTCAATTTCGACGTTGTTTCAACGTTAAAATCGCGTTGACATCTGACGGTATGATCGCGAATATATATATGCGATTTTAAAGTAAAAATTTTACGCGATTTTAAAGTTAAAACAATGTCGAAATGTACGAGTCCGAAAAATGACGTTGCTTCAATTTTCATTCTAAACTAATATTCAACGTTATTTCAACGTCGTGAGATCCGTTATTTCAACGTTGAGTTAACCTGACATTGCCTGCTGGGCAGTGTCTCGAGCAAGCATCGCGATGATGGTCGCGCTATCTCTTTGGTGTGTCGGCAGCTGGTGCGTCGGCAGGTGATGTGTCGGCAGCTGGTGCGTCGGCAGGTGGTGCATCGGCAGCTGGTGTGTCGGCAGGTGATGTGTCGGCAGCTGGTGCGTCGACATTTGTTGGCCGATCGTGCGTTCCAGAATTTTCTGTCATATTTTTCAATGAGTCTTGTATCAATTATATAATGTGTGAACATCATGCGTTTCTTAAAAAATATTTCGTCATTTTTGAAATTTTCTCGCCTTAATTGGGAATATTGGATATTTATCTAATTTTGACAACTTCTGAATTAGCACATTGATAATAACTACTTATATTCCAAATTTGAAGCAGATCCGTTTAGCATTGAAGGATTTATGACTGGTTCGGTTGCATCAAAATTGTTTTTTTTTCGTTTTTAGTGAAAAAATTGATGTGAGTTCAGAGTATCGATTCGGTCTCCGCCCTAATTCCTACTTCAATAAATAAAGAGTTATCATAACAAGTTTAATTGAAAATAGAAATATGTCGCAGATTTCACGATATAAGATAATGTTTAGGTTAAATAAATAAATAAATTTTGTCTGACAAAATTTTTCTTGCATAAAAAAAACGAGCATTGCCCTTGCACAAACACGTAACGAACTTGTCACGAGTTACAGCCTTGAGCCTTCTAGGTAGAATTTTCTTCTGAACGTAGTATCGCTCCTTATCTTATCTATAAGTAATGTCAGACAGAGCAAGAGTCATTGTTCATGTCATCTTTGCAACGTAGTTACACACACATCGAAAACTCTTCTTAGTTATTGTGTGGCAATTTAATCCTAAAACTCAATTCTGACAGTATTATATGGTTGTACACCTTTACTGACGACAGTGACGAGCTCGGGCGCCACGAGCAGCGAGTTAAGTGCTGACAATCTCCTGACATGAGCAACTTTTGGCTCAGGTCTGCTGCAGTCCCGTCACCCGTGGTATTGTGGTAACTTGCATATTGGCCCCAGAAGCTTTATTGTTTATTGTAAAGTACCAAGTTTGGTGCTCTTGGAGGTGCTTCACTTCAGACGCCGAAAGTCTTTAATCCAATTAATTAAAAGTGCTGACAATTTGGGACAAGCAATGTACTTGTAATAAGCGCTGAGTGGCAACTTGTGCGTCAGTTTCATTGACGGTAGGCATAAATGGGTGGGTTTATTGATCTCTCGGGCTCCCATATAAAATGCTTAGCCTAGTTAGTTCTTTGTTATTGTGCATCTGCTCAACTCCTGTACAATCTGTATAAATATGCTGTTCACAATTGTAGTCTTGACCCAAAATTAAAACATTAAAAGCCCAGCTATCATCACCTACCAGTACCAGCTAATTAAAATAATTTGCCATTTGGTCCTGTTCACAATAGGTAGAGGTACTGTCTACAATTTTGCACTTCATGCCGTTCAACTTAATTAATAAGTCTTTTCTGTGCATCTGACTAATAGATTGTAATGTATCATTAACTTGATATCTGATGTTTAGTTTTTAGATTCTACATCAATAATGATTAAAAATCTATTTGAAATAAATTGCCAGTTAGTTTAGTCAAAGAAACCCCTACATTCTGATTCTGCAGACTGCACCTGAGTTTTTGACAACGGTTATTGAAACTACATACTAATCATATTTTCAATGTCCATAAATGACTTCATAAAACATCATTTTTCTAACATTTGTTTAACTTGTAGGTTATTGATAATTCAGCTGCAAATCCTACAATGGGTGTTCCCAAGTTTTACAGATGGATTAGCAAGAGGTATCCTACTATCATTGAAGTTGTCAGACCTGATCAGGTTTGTGGTTTTTGTACTGAAATAAACTATAACAACTTGAATTATTAAAAAAGAAAATGGTCAGTTTATAGTCATTTGCTATAAAATACTAGATGTATTTACTTTAGTACTTGTATATTTTTTTGTAAAAGTTAGTATATATATACCTTAATTTGCTGCATAATTTTTATGGATGGATTTAATATTTAATGTTGATAATTTTATAAATTTACAGACGCGGCAGCTTCTGATTTGGATTACCAGAAGCTGGGGCGACTCTAAATTTTGTTAGGGTCCCAGTGAAAATTTACAGACGCGGCAGCTTCTGATTTGGATTACCAGAAGCTGGAGCGACTCTAAATTTTGTTAGGGTTGGAGCGCCAGCGACGTAATCGTTGAGGCTGTTCCACATGTCGGTGATTCGAAGCGAGAAGAAATATTGTTGCGTGGAGAAGGTACAACGCAGTTTTTTTTATTTTATAGCCGTGGCCCCTGGTGTTGGTTCTTGTTTCAAATTCCAGTAATCATTCGGGGCCCTTGTATAAACCATAAGTATACTTTTATACTTCAATGAGGTCCCCACGCAGACGTCGATAACTGAAGCTTGGAAGCTTCATAACCTTTAATCTTTCTTCATAGGGCTTGCCCTTCAAGCCTGGAATCATCCTTGTTGCACGTCTTTGAACATTCTCTATTAAATTTTGTCCTTTTCAAATCTTGGTGACCATTACTCTCTCGTTGCAACCATGTCTTTTCATACTGTAATCTTGCTGTTCATTGTTCTTCCCGAGGTGAAGTACTGTACACTTGCCGACATTATACCGCAGCTGCCGCGTATAAATCAGCCCAGTTAACTAAACTGTCAAGATCACCTTGCAATTGCGCTTTATTTGACGCATCCTTCAATGTATTATAAACTTTTGTGTCGACGGCCTTCATGGAGCACACGCTGGACACTGCTTCTGGGGCAAGTTCTGGCAGATCGTCTATAAAAGCAACGAACAAAATAGGCCCATGAACGCTTCCTTGTGGCACGCCACTGCGAACTGATGCCCAGTCTGACATGGTTCCGCTAATACTGACACGCTGTCGTCTACCTACTAGAAAATCTCTGAGAGAATGGAGTACGTTTCCCTCAATTCCCAAAGACTTCACTTTACGTAACAGCCGCTCATGCGGAACACTGTCAAATGTTTTGGCAAAATCGAGGTACAAAGCCACTGGCTCCCTTTCGTCCAGGAGGCGAGTCTAATCGTTCAACGTAGATAATAAGTTAGTGGTGCAGGATCTACCGGCAATAAAACCATGTTGACAATCTGATAGGAGATAAGACTAGCCATCAATAAAGCAGTTTTTGCTCCTGATTATAGAGGAAGGTGAGAACAAATAATTTCAACTTTCATTTGTGTTAAGCTTCTAGATTAACTGACCACCATTAAAATTGTTCTTTGTTTCAGACTCCAGGAGAAGGTGAGCACAAAATCATGGACTACATCAGGTATCACCGCAGCCAGCCAGGCTACGATCCTCATACGCGCCACTGCCTCTACGGCATCGATGCTGACCTCATCATGCTGGGCCTCGCCTCACATGAGCCTCACATTGCCCTGCTCAGGGAGGAGGTGTGTATACATCACATGCCTCATCATGCTGGGCCTCGCCTCACATGAGCCTCACATTGCCCTGCTCAGGGAGGAGGTGTGTATACATCACATGCCTCATCATGCTGGGCCTCGCCTCACATGAGCCTCATATTGCCCTGCTCAGGGAGGAGGTGTGTATACAGCACATGTCTCATCATGCTGGGCCTCGCCTCACATGAGCCTCACATTGACCTGCTCAGGAGGTGTGAGACCATCACATGGCACTTCCTATGACTAAATAACGAATATTGGATCTCTTGTTAATTATTTCGGCCTGCAAGGAAATAGTTTAGAGATATTCTTAGTAGATTATCATTTCAATAGAAATTTAATTTTAAAGTTAAATGCAGAATTTTATGTCACAGTCTCCATCCTACAAACTCATCATTTGTAATGTGATTGCCTTCCAATACTTCAATGTATGGAAGGTAGGATCAAATAATATATGTATCAATATATATTGATTATCGATCAATGAATAACAGCTAAAGTAATCAGGTTGTATCAGCGCACATAAGATAAATTCTAACAAAGTATCTTTATGATCGCAATTATTCAAGTTCTATTGATTGCATCAAAGAGACGAGTATTTGTATTTCATGGTGCGTAAACAAGTATTTTTGAATTATGTACAGATGAAGTTACGAGGTCCTTTCCGATTAGCCAAACGCCCAACAGCCACTGAAGAAACCACGTACCTGTGGCTGCATCTGAGCCTCCTGCGAGAGTATATCAACCATGACTTCGAAGACATCAGTGACAAGTTATCATTCAAATATGATTTGGAAAAAATCATCGATGACTGGGTTTTCATGTTGTTCCTGGTGGGAAATGACTTCATCCCTCGCTTGCGCTTGATGCGGATCGACGCATTACCAACGCTCTTTGACGCTTACAAGACCGTCATGCCAGAGCTGGACGGATACCTCAATGAAGCAGGCACCCTCAACCTGCCGAGGTTTCAGAAGTTCATGGCTAAGCTGGCCGAGTTTGATTACTTGAATTTTCGCCTTTTGAAATCAATTAGGCTGTTCCTCACAAGCAAAGGAGATGGTGCATGTACCACAGACACACAGGGCACAGAACAGTCCCAAAATGTCAACAGTAAAGAGGAAAACAATGTCAATGAGGATGATGAAAAGGAAAACAAAGTCAATGAGGATGATGAAAAGAAGAACAATGTCAATGAGGATGATGAAGAGAAGAACAATGTCAATGAGGATGAAGAAAAGAACAACAATGTCAATGAGGATGATGAAGAGGAAAACAATGTCAATGAGGATGGTGAAAAAAACAACAATGTCAATGAGGATGATGAAAAGAAGAACAATGTCAATGAGGATGATGAAGAGGAAAACAATGTCAATGAGGATGATGGAAAGAAGAACAATGTAAATGAGGATGATGAAGAGAAGAACAATGTCAATGAGGATGATGAAAAAAAGAACAATGTCAATGAGGATAATGAAAAGAAGAACAATGTCAATGAGGATGATGAAAAGAAGAACAATGTCAATGAGGATGATGAAAAGAAGAACAATGTCAATGGCGACGATAAAGAAGAAAACAATGTCAAGGACGATAATGAAGAGGAGAACAAATTCAACGATGAAAAGGAAGACAATTCCTATGATGGAGGTGAGCTTGATGGACCTCTGTGCTGGGCAGCTCTTGATGACGATGAGGTCTTCAAACCGACTGATGAGACTCATCAGAAGCTAGATGTTCTCGACGCTGGTCTCATACTTGGCGTAGAAGAAAGCCGCGACCTCGCAGAAGAATTTCGTGAGCAGAAGCGTAAATATTACATCAAAAATATTGGCTACAAAGAGGATGTAACATTGGATGTCATAAGTCGGGAGCAGACCGACAGCTATGTAAGAGGACTGCAATGGATCTTGCATTACTACTATAACGGTATTCAGTCATGGTCTTGGTATTACCCCTTCCATTGCGCACCTTACATTTCCGACATCAAAGATTTCTCTGACTGCTCCATGGAGTTCGACCTAAGCCACGCCATGATGCCGTTTGATCAGCTGATGGCGGTCCTGCCGCCCCAGAGCGCCCAGCTGCTGCCTCAGTGCTACGCTGACCTCATGCTCAGCCCTGACTCGCTTATCATCGACTTCTATCCGCGTGAACATGTTCGTATTTTTTACCTTGGAATGACCATTACCAAAGTTCAACATAACATGCTGTAAATTGTTATACACGTTATATTGAATTTTCAGACTGTATGAATGTATGGTCAAACTGAAAGTGAGAAATCGTGACTAAATTTCCGTTGAATTTCTTTTATGTTCTCAATTTTTGGCTTACATGTATGTAAATAAAAATTTATCACCAAATGCCGAAATTTCCACATACTGTTGATTAGAATATTTTGAAAGTAGGCTCTCATTAGAAGGAAGTACCTTAAGTTCCGTGGAAAATATTCAATAAATCCTTTTTAGGACTGGGAAGCTGAGCCACGCATTCCGCTCATTGACGAGGAACGTCTGCTGGAGGCCATGTCTAAAGTGAGCCATCGTCTCACTGAAGACGAGCGACGACGCTCTGTTCATGGTCCCATGCAGGTCTACAGCTTCACGCCAGATGACCTCGGTGCATATGAGGTTAGTTCACTCTATTTTATCCTGAAATAATTTTAACCTGATAATATTTTATCCTTTTTCCCTGGTCCCATGCACATCTACAGCTCCACGTTAGACGACCTCTGTGGATGTGATTACACGGATGTGTTTTGGTGGGCAAGAAGAAACGACGCTTCTTTTTTGGTAGTTTTTACTTGCTATCGTTACTGACAATGGTGACGTAAGTGGCTTGGTGACTTTGTGACGTAAGCTGAAAATAATATTTAATATTAGTTAATAGATCGAGAAAGACATACATGAAATTTACACTGGCAGGTGCTGGACTCTCATTGTTTAGCCTTAATTAATAAACGTTGTAGATGAGCGGTATTAATTGACTACTCGATACCAAGATTACAACTGGCATGCCAGGAATTGTTTATGTCAGGATGGTCGCCTGGTCGCAGTATTTCATTTATTACTTACACAAGGTTGTTTTGGCAGGCAAGAAGAAGAGACGCAGTTTTGACGATAGCTACGTTTGCCACTATAAGAGAGTTAGGCCAGATATACCTATTATTAACGTTTCCTTGCGTAGTATGCTTGCATTTGCCAACGCTGGGTTGGGCTTTGATTACGATTAGGGCCAACGGCTGCGGTTGGGCTTGAACTACGATTACGATACCTGAAATCGTGAGATAAGAGATTAAGTCTAGAGGACAATATCTTAAAAATACCTAAAATGTGGTAATGTGAGCCGCTGCTTCAGGCCAAATAGACTGTTTTCGAACTGTTATATTTTCATCCCCAGCATATAAATGCATCATATTCGATGCCGAAATTATGTCGATAATTAATTTAGATAGTATAAATTTTTTCACGAAAGACAAATTGTCGCTAGCTCGTATATAAGTACTTCTATTATCAGTCTGCTTATATCGCAAATTCACAAGGAATTTAAAAGCAAAGAAAACGCCAAGCAAATTCATCATATCGATATTGAAAACGTTTTGGAGTCAAGCTCCATCATCAGTTCTACAATCTAAAAATTAATAAAATCATTTTATAAGTCAAAATTGTACGACAGAAATAAAAACCTGAATAAGTCCTAATATTATATCGAAAAACAGGACTCGATCGGAACAACTTTGTCCTAGGGGTCACGAAAAGAATAAAAGTTAAGAAAAAACAATAAAACATAAAAGCTTAACGATTGACTATTTTAAGATATGAACTAAACGCATTATTGAGACGCGGTTTGAAGATATGTAAAGACTTCTCATTAATGCGTGTCTCAATAATGCGTTTAGTTCATATCCTCTGAAAAAGTATTTTGTTAGGGAATTTCTACAAAATCGAGGGTGATTCAAATATGACTTTAATACTGATCAATAGAGAATAAATAGTACTACCTTTTGTCTAAAAAATTTAGGTAATTCGCATCACTCACATAATGAACATCGATTTGCAACATTTTACTCTATCATAACTGATTTCATACGAAATTTACATCTATTTTGTAACTGTAGGAAAATTTTAAATAAATAGCTGAATGAGCATGAAAAAATTTGGATTGATATTCCATTTACGAGCGGAGTTATAATGACTATACGTAGTGATAGATTCTCATAGGGCTCCAGTCATGCCTGCCTGTGGGCTCGCGGTTCTCAATCGCAACCTTAAGGGTATCACAGGGTGGGCGTGCGTGATCTGCTACACCCGGGAGCGCAGCCGTAGGCCACACATTTTACTCTTAAATAAGCCCTGGAACCAACGCTTAGCTTTACCATGCATTAACTTTATTCTGCCTCAGAGCTAGAAGCCGCAGACTACGCTTGAACTCCGTAATCCAGACATGCGACACACTGCCGAAAGATAATAGCGCCGTAGGTCTTCAGCCAATGCTTAAGCATGCTGGCTCATAAGCAGGCAGTTCCCCATCCGGCTGTACCTACTCCGGCCTAACCTATTCACGCTGTCCCGGCTCACATTCTTCTTGCAGCCAATGACTGGCTCTACCCGCACACTTGTACCGCCTTTCTAAATTCTTGCAGCCAATGGGGTTAGGTTAGGTCCGCTCAGGTTTGTTTCGGGGGGAGAAAGGTTGCAGCTCGTATAGGTTAGCGGCTGGGCGGCTAACGCGGGAACCGCTTTGGAGCTCGCTGCATTCATTGAATGATAATGTCGTTGATCTTTGCGATATTTCCACGCACCTATTGAATGCAGGACAGAGGGAGTGAAGATTTTAGGAAATAATAGATGAGAATAGGAAAACTTTGTGCGTTGAATCTGACGAGTGACGAACGACGTCACATATGAGGTCAGTTCAGTTGTCAGTGATCGTGCCATGGTAGTAATAATCTAATTATATATCATCCGGCGTCCTGAATATTTGATACTCTTTTATGTGAATATAGATGGATAGCACAGACTGTTAATACTGAAGTAACTTTATGAGTGAACTGTGATGTGTTAGTAATATTCTACATATTTAAATTATTAATTTTATAGAGTCCCGAGCATTTCCCACCGGTTTGCATGAACCATGCCAAGTGCGACTTGATTCACGGAGAGGCGTGGTGCATCCCTAGGGAGGATATCCTGAGGGGCTTGTGTCCTGGAGCGCAGACTGAGCTTTACTTCCCAGGCTTCCCTACGCTCAAGTATATGGAGCACACGGTGAGTTTTAGATTTGTCGTTATTTTCTTTGACTTAACAATGCTTGAAAGCATTACCTATTTTCCTTGACATATAACGAGCTTGACATCATTATCATCATCATCTGGCATATCACTAGGTTGAAGTCGTTATTTTTTCTGGCATATCACTAGGTTGAAGTCGTTATTTTTTCTGGCATATCATTAGATTGAATATTTTTCAGGCATTTCACTAGGTTGAAGTTGTTATTTTCTTTGTTATATCACTAGCTTGAAGTTTCTATTTTCCTTGACATAACGCTGGCTTGAAATTATAATTTGCTATAACATAATACCAAGTATGAGAATGTCTCGATTGTAAAATTTCTTGAGTTTCTTGTCTGACAATACGAGCACACCTCATATATAGGTATGAAATCTCCCAACTATATATATATAACTACTACTGATTTTTCCAAATATTATTTTTTTTTCTCCTGTCAGCATCGTGTTGGGCTTGTGTACGCGCGAGCGTTCCAGGAGTCCGTCATTATTGAACTGAGGGATCCCTTCTTCTGCCACTACCGTCCGTATCAGTGTAAGTCCGCTGACTGCGCAAGTTCCATCCTTTGTGTTAATTGACAGCAAAATAACTTGACAATATTAAGTTTCTTATCAAGTCGACTGGATGTTGTGTTTTAAAAATTCATATTTTGTTAACAAAGGTTGGTTTCTTATCACTTAACTGGATGTTATTGTGTTTATTATGAATATTTGGCTGATAATGGTTGGCGCCTTAATAACCCGACTGCATGTTTCGTGTTGTGAAAATTATTATTATGTTAAAAATATTTGGGTATTTTAGCAAGTTGACTGAATGTTCCTGCGTCTATTGATATTAATATTTATAGTTATCAATGTTTGGCGCCTGATTAATTCGACTGCATGTTTTTGTCTATTAAATTTAATGATTTGTTGACCTAATATGGATTCTGATGAACTATACTGGAAACTAACCAACTAATACTAACTAACTCCACTAATAACAATGGAACTCGTAAGGTGAATAGTTGTATTGATGTTATTTTGTACACTTAAGGGTTCAAAAAGATTGCTCAGGAACTTCTGAACAAAATCGTCTACGTTGACTGGCCACATCTCAAAGAGGCTCTGGTGCGTTCGACCATCTTAATGATAAAATGTTGTGTCCCTGAATTGAAAAATTTCATTAAGGATATTTTGTGGACGATGACTGAACGATTTTGCAAATTATATTTTGTGGACGTTAACTGAAGCATTTTACAAATGATATTGTGTGTATTCCAGCTGTATATGTTCGGATTTCTATTCTAACTTTGTTGTCCTTTATATGTCTTATGGCTCAGCTTATCTTTTTTTTCTCAAATTGATTTACTAAATATGATCATAAATTTATTAGATGAACTGATTTATGTGCTTCAAAGTTGCGCCACAAATGAAATATTTCCTTCTCGTTACTCATAGTTCAATTTAGAAACTAATTTTGTTTTAATCAGGTTCATATCCCTAACAATAATTGTCTGTACATTAACCACCAGGTGGTTGGCTTGAGCTGCGGCAGGTTCGCCAGTCCCGGTGCGTCATCCATGATCGAAGTGTTCAGCAACTACGAGCTGGACGGAACACTACCAGAACAACAAGAATTTCTTACAACTGTTAAAAGCCTTCGCTCTGATCTTCTCTTCAAATGGGGCATCGATGCCGGCCGCTCCAGCATCCTGGTGCACTGCAAGCCCATCGCTGGCAGACGGTGAGATGGGCAAGGTTCCGTTAATGGACCGAATTTGATGGATCTAATCTAGACCAAAAGTTCCACGATCTCCACTAGATCAGTCCCCTACTAGGCATTTAACGTTGAAATAAGGTTGAATAAACGTTTCAATTTATTCAATTTTTAATCAACGTCGTTTCTACATCATTTGCCTAGAGGCATGGGTATCCACTTTCAGTGGATCTAATGAATTGCATCTATCAAAGTAAGGGTTGAATAATTCCATGGAAATAGAGTAATAATTTATTTGTGGGCAAGGAAAATGTGAGGAAAGGGTTTTCGTGTTTAATTAAACATTTTTTAACATTTTAAACCTGTGATCGGATGGGTTACATATGGTCGAGATGTCATATTGAATTGGTGGATTAAATTGATAAGTTGGTGGATCGCTCCATTCAATGATTACTACCGCTTACCCAAAACTTTGGAAGACTTGGCGCTTTGAAAAAAATTTCAAAATTTATCCGTCAACTGTCTAGATAAAGGCGTTTTTGTTCGAGTACCTATCTGAAAATTATTTTAGCTTATAACCATGCCTTACGGAAAGCAGTTACCTGCCTTCAGTTGCTGACGGTCATTACCTGCCATCAGTTACTGATGGTCATTACCTGTCATTAGTTACTGACGCTTATTACCTGCCATCAGTTACTGACGGTCATTACTTGCTATTACTGACATTCATTACCTGCCATCAGTTACTGACGGTCATTACCTGCCATCAGTTACTGACGGTAATTACCTGCCATCAGTTACGTGCTGACCTCGTGCGGCGAGTGGTCCCTGAGCTACGAGTGGTCGCCGGCCACGCAGACATACCTCGCGCAGACTCTGGTACGGGACATCGCAGTCTGCGACCCAACACTCCCCAAGACCTGCAGTCTTGATCAGCTCTTCCCTGCTGGCACCAAAGTCTTCATGCTCGGACAACCCCACCACGGTTGTTGCGCCACGGTGCGTGTGTGTGTGTTGTTGTTGTGTTTGTGTTTGGGCTACTCCACCACGGTTGATGCACCGCCATTTTAATTGCGTTTTGCTCATTTTAAAATGAGGCTCAGCAAAACTTGAAAACTGAACACGTTTTGCTCACATTCAATTTTTATTTGTAACACTAAGTTCAAAATGTTCGTGAAGCAACGGTAAAGCGCGCCAGTATTGGAGATGATTTGCTAGAATAATTCATGAATNTACGCCTGTCTCTTATACACATCTAGATGTGTATAAGAGACAGGGACTAGACCTCTTGTTCTTCAAACAGATGCAGGAGGTGAGCCGACCTGTCGTGCCAGTAATTAATGATGAGTTTGTTTTCTTCTGTAAAGAAAAAAGAAAAGTTTTCAATCATCAAGAATTGTAATAAAACTTGGGTTTAATAACGTTTTCCGTTTATGTTGGGAGGTACAAAGTATTGTATCAGAAGGTACAAGGTCTTGTTTTCGAAGGTAAAAGGTATTGTCTCAAAAAGTACTAGGTATTGTGTTAACAGGTACTCGGCTACAGTCACCGCCACAGCGACGGCTTGTGGCTGTTCACGGAAGAGACGGTGGCTCTGCTGGAGGCTTACAACGCGAAGTTCCCCCGCGTCGTCGAGGCAGTTTGTAGAACCCGCGGCGACGTTACTGAGGAGGAGCTCTTCCCGGGTCCCGACAGGTTAGCCCACATTAACCTGTTGTTCACTGACACATTACTATTTGTTAAGGCTCGTATCGAGAACCGCCCGAACTCTAGAGCGAGCTTACCCGAGTTTGCTGTCGTGACTCGTATAGTACGTCTGACTGGCGGGGTGCCACAGGAATATCGTGCGAGCGCAGGCCTATCCCGCTGCATCACACTACAGCCTTGCACTAGCGCACTTGCCATTAATGAGTAGTAGTATTAGAATGGTTTGCTAGCGTTTCAGCTATCAAGCTATTTCGCGCCGGAGGTCAATATGTAACATCGCCAGCGAGGCGGAAGGTCTCAATTATTCAAAGTCTCAAATTATTCGTCACCCAAAAGGAGCGGAAGGTCTCAATTGTCCAGCCCGCTGAAGTTGGCTCGAATGAAGCAGCGTTAGCATCTCAAAGAGACGAAGTGACAAGGAGGGACAGATGAAAAGCAACAGAAACGAAGACACTCGAACAAGAGGTCACTTACACGGGACGTCGGCCGCGCGCACGAGAGGGACAGAGAAGGAAATGTAAGGAATCCTACATATACATAATAACTTAATGTAAGGAATCCTACCTACATAATAACTTAACCCCACAACTGAGACCTGCAGTCAGGCACCGCGAGCGCAGCGGTGGGGTGCTCAGGAACAATCCCCCTAGGAGCGCGAAATCCTACATGGCTTCTGACGAGCACAGACACGCGTCAGAAGTTCCCCCTGAGGAGGATGCCAATAATGAACTTTGACTACTATCTGCAAACTCTCTGCTATATACAACACGACCACAAAGAAATAAACATAATACATTATGATGTGCCGTCTAATGCAGCCTTTTCATTTTATCATTTATTTATTTTACTTATCCGGTTAAAGGACGTAATTATGCTATTTTTTAAGTAAAAAAAGTAGTGTAGGCTTTGGTACATATTTCCTCAAATAAATCACATATTTTTTAACCTAATTTTATTATAACACAACATTGGCAGAGACGCTACGGAACAGCGGGCAGCTAACGCTAAGCCTTACACCTCACACACTCATGTCTGACACCCCTTCTCTCTCCCCCTCGTCTCCGATATGCCGGTGTCTCTCACTGTAATATGATCTAAGACTTCAAGCCAAATAGCCTTTTCATGTTTTCCAACAGTTATAATCTCATCTTCACTATATAAATGCATCACATCCAATACATAAATCATTTCGATGGTATTTAATTCAGAGAGTACAAATCTCTGACCGAAAGACATTATTTAGACTAGACTATTAATTATTTTTTCTTGATCACGTCCATATTATAGGCACGTCCAGTAGAGGTTACAAAAGGGGACGAAATTTTAACTTTCACTGGTAATTAAGATCTATCAAAGTACAGAGACAGTAATTCAGACTGTACACTCAAGGTTTGCAGTCTTTCAGCCCAGTCCGCAAAAAAAGTCTGGGGGGGGGGAAGGAGTACGGCAGCAGGAAATGGAGACTGAAGGGGAAGTTGTGAAACCGCAGTATGGGTTTTTGGAAGGTGGCGGCTGAAATTTTGTGAGGCTCTATTTTTCCATTGCTGGGGTCACCCAGGTTCGTCCAGCCGTACTTATAGTACTTTAACGTGTACCCCAACAAAGGCTTGCAATGAAAGATACTTCAGAAACCACTCTCTTGAATCTGCAGAGCTGGGCAGCGCTACTTGGAAATGTAGCGGCGCTACCGCTACCGCTACATGCTCTAAATGTAGCGGGCGCTACCGCTACCGCTACACCCACTAGATTGTAACGAGCGCTACCGCTACCGCTACATCAGCCGCTACAATGGCCAAAATTATTGGAAATCTCTAAATATTTATTGTTCTGCTATTGGGATTTACTCATTAAAATTTAATGATAATAAAACATTTTTAAAACATATCAATGCAACTTTATTGCAATTAACCTAACCGAACTAGTATGGGTTACCCCA